AGCATTGTTTCATTTATAAACAGTCCAGCTCGTGAAAATATATACAGTATGAAATATTGTCCTGACACTTTCATGTCCACAAAAATGCCTGTGTGTAGTTAATGTGATTTTACTAAGTACAGTCCCATTCATTATATGGTTTACGGCTGAGAGTTACTGATGCAGGTGGAACACTGAAACTAGGCCATGGTGTCAGTGCCTGCTTTTGCTGACTAACAGCATGATGAAAATGTTTTAAGGTCACTGGCATTTTGTCACTTACATCACTATTTTTACTGGTCTCTATTGTCAGGAACATTTCCTTAAGCTTCCTAGACCACTCCCACAGAGAGCCTCATGGGCTGTTGGTGCTAATTTGTCTGAAAAAGCAGAGGAAGAACTGAAGAACTGGCTCTGTTTTGGTCTCATGGGGAGAAGACTTAAACCTTAACCCACACACACTTTAGCTGTTTCCGTTTCTGATTTTATAGGAAGCTCTGAATGTGCAGACAGTGATGATGGTGGCTGATGTGTGGATTTCAGACACACAAATACACCCACACACACATAGGTCACAGAACACTGCAAATAAACCTCAAGGCAGGCACAAGCTCCTGCAGGTGTGCAGAGATTAATAGTCAGGAACTATGTTGCCAAAACCATGCTGCATGCACAGAAGTCTGCATGTGTAATTTCACTGCATGTTAGCTGACCTGAAAAACTGTTAAAATGCTAAACAATAACACTTTGTTTTGAGTCAATTGCTCTCTTGACACAGCGTTTAGGTCTTTGTGTAGCATCCCGGGGATTACAGTTGTTGGACAGTGAGAGTCTGCTTCGTCTGTGTGTTGTTATGAACAGTCAGGCTTCGTAATTCCCATGAGACATTTAGTGTACTTGAATCTCTTGTGAGATGCCTGTTGATTTTCTTGAGTTAAGCTTCACTTTGTCACCTCTCCTTAGTCACTGTCTGGGTGGTATCGATAGGTGAAATACTAGTGCTTTTTTTATGAGTATGAATCTTGTTATGCTTCTCCACTGTAAACATTTCCATGTAAGAATGGTTTCACCGGCACGAGTGAAACCTGGAGGTTTTTACTAGGTATAAGTGACATTAGTGACATTTGGTTCCCTTGCACCAAAAGCATTGCCAGTAAATTTGAACCCCAGGTTACAAAAACATAGACAGTGAATAAAGTACATGAGTATGAGCCACCACCTAATGCAGTTGTGAACTGGGGCTGTTCAGTAAGCTACTGGCTTATTTATAGTCCATATTTATGAAGTGCTTGGATCATGAAGATTATCTCAGTGCTGTAAATGACTGTTTGACACAGTAAAACTGCTGTTTAATCATATGTTCACACAATCCTAAGGCTTCCTGCAGCAGTGAAAATGTTTTGTTGGAGAGTAAGAGTGTATGTATTAAGAGCTGCTGCTATCAGAGCGTATACATTTTTCCTGCAGAGTGGGTCTGCTCAGCCCACAGCATCCTGCCCAACAAGAGACTGTCAGTTAGAGGAATTCTATATGGCTGCCAGCTTTATGCTAAGGCATATTGCCAACGTTAAAGCACTGACTGTATACAAAAGATGGACAAACCCACCGTCACATCACCCATTGGTTTTTTGAAGCTCAAGTCTGGCTGTCTCCATTTTGGGAGCACTTCACCCCACCTGCTATGGTGAATCCTAAAAAGGACAAAGAAGTGGAGCATAAGTGGAGCTCGCTAGACAGCTAGTGGCCAGCCACCTAGGTTGGGACCTTCACTCAAAGCAGCCACGCCCTTAATTATGCATACATTTGACCGCTGCGTGCAGAGCAGCAGCGCGCTGCTGCGTGCAGAGCAGCAGCGAGCTGCAACAGTTCTGCCTCTTTTGTGTTTATTTTCGTGTTTCCTTGGGCTTCTGTGTTTGCTTTTTTTGCTATGTCTCTTTTCCGTAAACGTTTGTGGAGTTGGGCTACCAGGGATACAAGTTTTATTGCGTTTGCATCGTGTTTGTCCTTTTTTTACAAGATTTCGAGTCTGCCTTGGGGGGACCCTTGTGTCGCGGCCCCAACTGTTTGCTCTGCTTGCCGACAGTCGGCGTCCTTGTGGTGAGTTGCCGGGAATTCCCACGGGGATGCGACAAGAGGGGCGAGTCTGCAGAACTGGAGCGAAGTGCTGGGAGAGGAGCTGGAGTGAGGTGCTGGGGGAGGAAACGGAAGTACGAGCCGCTCCCCTCCCAACAAGATGGACCAGCTGGTGGAGTTGCAGCGGGGGTACAGAAGGAGAGGTCCTGCACGTGCTTCACCGGGCCTCCAGGATCTGCGGTCTGTGGTGATGGTTCTTCACCACCCTCCTACACAAAGAACAATAAAACTCTGGGCCATACCGCATGCTAATGCTAGGAATGCGTACACTTCCACCCCTCGCCCTTTGACCACAGACTGCCCTGTCTGTGATTTGAGTGAGAGCGATATCTGTTCCTAATTTCCCTGAAATGCTCGTACTGTCTTGTTTTTTATGTACTCTTGATTTGTTTTTCAAGACGCGCTACACGGAGTGGCAGCGACTTCCAGTAGCTATGTCCTCTTTTGTTTATTTGTTTTTTTCTCTTTCGGTGCTTTCTGAATTTGTCTATCAAGATTGGTGTGTGGTATCTGTTCTTATGGTGTCTTGTTGCTTGCTCTCTGTTGTTTTTGTCCCTTACTGCTGCTGGAACACTGGAATTTCCCCATTGTGGGGTCAATAAAATTCTACCTACCTACCTACCTACCTCAGTATAATTTATACATGCGAGTCATAAAATTCATTGTCTGTACAGTTGTCATGGAAGGGGAAATTACCTATCGAGACCAAATCCATTTTTTGTACCAGGCTGTAAACATGTTTAGTTCTGCTGTCAAGTTTGGCAATTTATAGGCTTATGACTCCCTTTTGGAGCCTCAAGTGGCCGTTAGAGGAACTGCAGGTTTTGGCACTTCCACATGGGCTTCATTTCTCAGCCTCAGAGATAGTTTTCTTAAAACAAGCAGCAAATTTCTTTTCAGCCTTTGCTCAAATCAAATCAAATCAAATCAAATTTATTTATATAGCACTTTAAAAACAACATCCAGCTGACCAAAGTACTTTAAATAACTAAAATAAATAGGTTCAGTGCAAAAATAAAACAATAACTCAGACACACAGATGACACACATTCAATAAATTGGATTAAAGGGAACGCATCAGGCCCTACTGTGTATTATAAGCCAAATAAGTATGTTTTAAGCAAGGATTTAAAAGTACTGAGGTCAGTAGCTGACCTAACATTAAAAGGTAAATTATTCCACAATTTAGGGGCTGCAACAGTAAAAGCACGGTCACCCCAGCGTTTATATTTGGCCCTAGGAACCTTTTAAAGAAACTGGCTTGAAGATCTGAGGGACCTTGTAAGTTTGTGCCAATGCACTAACTCAATGGGATAAGATGGTCCCAAACCATTAAGAGCCTTAAAAACAAAAATCAACAGTTTAAAATCAATTCTAAAACGGACTGGAAACCAGTGGAGAGAAGCCAGAGCCGGGATTATATGCTCAAATTTTCTGGTACTTGTCAGAAGATGAGCAGCAATGTTTTGAACCATCTGAAGACGAGTGAGGGAGGACTGGTAAACACGTAGGTATAGAGCATTGCAATAGTCAAGTCTAGAAGTGATAAAAGCATGGATTGCAATCTCAGAATTATTAAAAGAAAGGAATGACTTGACTTAATAACCTGAAGTGGAAGAAGCTAGATTTCACAACTGAGTTAATTTGTTTATCAAATCTTAAGTCACCATCAAACATCACCCCTAGGTTTTTTACAGTCGACTTCAGATGACAAGGCAGGGGGCCCAGACCCTGGTCAAAAGAAGTTAAGTTTGCCAAGTCTCCAAAAAGCACACACTCAGATTTATTTTCGTTAAGATTTAAAAAGCTAAGTGCCAGCCATGATTTCAAGTCTGTCAAACAGTCAAACAATGGCTGTAATGACATCCCTGTCATTGCCTTCAGTGGTAAGTACTGTATATCTGAATGTCGTCTACATAACAGTGAGAAGAAAGGCCATATTTCCTTAAGACAGATTCTAATGGAAGCATGTACATTATGCTTCCATTAGAAGCATAATAGGACCAAGCACAGATCCCTGGGGGACACCACAGGAAATGATTGTTGAAGAGGATGAACAGGTACCAATATTAACAGTAAAACTTCTATTGCTGAGATAAGATCTGAACCAGTTAAGAACTGTACCTTGAATTCCTACACACTGCTCCAAGTGAGATGAGAGGATTTCATGATCCACTGTATCAAAGGCAGCAGTGAGATCTAAAAGCACTAATAAAACCGAAACCCTGGCGTCCCTAGCCAACAGGATATCATTACTGATTTTTAATAATGCAGACTATGTTTTGATTTAAAACCAGATTGAAATTGTTCCTCAGTGCCATTATCTGTCAAAAAAGACTGAGAGTTGGATAAAACCAATCTTCTCCAGAACCTTAGACATAAAAGATAATTTAGACACTGGTCTAAAATCAGAGAACACTAAAGGGTCAAGATTTGGCTTTTTGAGAAGAGGCTGGACAATCACTTTTTTTAAAGCCTCTGGCACTGAACCTGTACTTAGACATAAATTAATTAGAGCCATAAAGCTAGGCCCAACAGAGTCAAAAACACCCTTAAACAATATAGTTGGCAAACAATCCAAAGAACAGTGAGATGCTTTCATGTGGTGAACCAGTTCAGATAGCATAGGCAAAGATACAGGCTCAAACTGATCAAAGACAGCAGACTGCAGAGGAATATCAGATGGGTCAG